GCTTCAGGCAATGATTACGGATGGATGCTAGTACGTCAGAGAAGAATTGAGCCCTTTGAGGCTGCACAGGTCCTTGCAGGAGGATGGGGAGTGGTTCATAAAGGTGGTCACTGCGTTGCAGAAACACTCTTCAGGGGGGTGTTGGGATGCTGCAGGAACTTTGCTTGAAGCCTCAGTCCACCGTCTTTGGAGAAAGCTTTATAGCTGTGCAACTGGAAAGCGTCTGTCCTCACAGAGCCTGGCAGAAATGCTTCTGTTCTGTAACAGGTCTCTTCAAAGAGCATACACATATAATATTAAGTATTAAAGCCACTAAATAAGTTATAAATCAGGACTTAGTGGGGTGTCTCTGCAGAGGGGGAAAAAACATTTCGGGAAAGAGAGTAGAATGAATCCCAGCACTGTTTAGCAGCAGAGCTTTTTATAGTTGTCTTCAGGTCTCCTGTGAATCCTATCTCAAATTCTGTCTTATCCACGATGTCTCAGAGTGAGACTTTTCACTCACATGAGCACATCCCGCGTCCACGTGACATGTCTTCAATCGGTGTGCAGTCTTGGGTTTTATGGAGATCGCTTCTTGCCTTGCTTGATAGACTACAGCAGGGGGTCTCGAACTTCTTTAGATTTAGGGTCCTCCTTGTTGCACCCTCCGAAAATGCCAGCTTTTACTTGTTCCTTGACTATGGAAAGGTAATAGAGCCATTCTGCTGCTGCAAAGGACTCAACAGGTCAGAATATTTTTGACACGTCGGATTCTTATTTGAAATCTCTGGGTTTATCTAGTGAATCACGGATAGGTGCTAATATTGAGTGGCACCCTCGAAAGGATCTCATAGCACCTTGGCAGAGAATTGCTGGACCATAGCATCTACTTGGCAGAGAATCGCTGGACTATAGCATCTCTTAGCTCTTGCAAAATTTTAGTTTTTGTAAAGCATAAACTGAGTTTTTAGTGCACTGCGTACTCCACACTTGTGTGTGTGCAAACCAGATTTAAATTACACTGGGGTATGTTCTTCTGTCCATACCTGAGAGTGTCTTTTGTGCAGTGGACAGTGCTACGCTTCACCATTGCTCCAGGCACTCATGTTCCCAAAAGTTCACATGAAGACTTTGTGCAGCGCCGTTTCTCACCCAACATACCTTGCCCTGACTTGCCTGGAAGAGCTGATGCCACATCGATCAGCCTGACCTTGTAATTTTGGGCAATGCTTTATTTTCACACGCGGATGCCTTGTGTTTATTGCTTTCTGAATGATCCCACGGCGGAGTCTTTTCACTTGAATAATTGGTGACAGATAACAAATGAATAGAGCAGCTTGGAAAAACATCTACCCTGTCATCAGAGCACAGCAGCTTTTCTTTCAGCTCCACTGCCCGTGTTCTTGGTCCAGGGCTTGAGTCTGTACTGCCTTCCTAGCTCAGGCTTAAATGCTTGATGGCCTCCCGAGATGGACCTCTGTAGATGGTCACAATTCAGGGTAGCGCTGGAGTATTTCCTAGACCTAAATCGGCAGTGCAGACACACTCATCCCTGTTATCCCCCGAACCCTTCCCTGGATGGACCTCCCAGAGAGCTGCGATTTCATTTCCTAGTGCCTTTGCTGCTTCTAGACCTGGCCAGGGAGAGGTTGGTGCCATGTGGGCAACTACCAGCCACTACATGATGCCACGAAAAGTGGGAGGAAACATTAGCTACGCATCTGCCCCGGGAGAGTGGCGTTTTCCATCAGATGGTGTGTATTGCTGGAGATCTTTTAAACTGTCTTCCCCCTTGTCCACACAGAGGCACTGCAATCCCCAGCACCCACAGGATGTGGAATAAAATGGAGAAGATTAGCTGGGCATAAGAGCTGACCCCGCGAACCACGCTGCGCTTGCAGCTCTCATTGCTTTTAGCAGGCTCCGCAGCAACTCAAGCAACGCCCTGCATCAAGGCTATACTTAGGTCAACAAGATTATTATTAGAACAAGGAAGCCAAAGTAAAACAGACCCAGCTTATGGAAAGGGTGGTACCTTTTGGGGCACAGCACTGAAAGCTCAGGGATTGCACAGAGCCTGGAGTCGGAGGGGAGAACAGCTGCCCTTTTCGGCTACACAAATGCCCCTTGTCTTGGTATCCCGGTTGTAGCTGTACTGGTCTAGAGGAAAAAGCAATCGGGGCTCATAGGAGAGATGATATCTTTTATTAGACCAACTGGATTTTTGCAAAAATTTTTATTTAATTGCAAGCTTTTCTCAGATGCCTCGTGAAGCACCCGAAAGCTTGCAATTAAAGAATTTTTTTTTGCAAAAGTCTAGTTGGTCTAATAAAAGATATCACCTCTGCCATGAGTCCTGGTTGCCTTGTCTGGGTATGAGCATAAAGGGGCATCGGTGGTTCTGGTGACCTCCACGTACAGAGCTTGTGGGGCTCTCTGGCTCCCCGAGTGCAAATGAATGCATTGGTGACTGTGTGGTATTACTGGGGAACATTATTGCCCCGTCCCCCTTTTTTGGTTTTGATCATTGTCTCTGGAGTTTTCCCCATTGGAGACCATCCTATGAGCACTTGCTAAGATGGGCCGTATGCCATCCTGCTTCTTGTTAACAAGAGTCTTGAGGCAGGTAGATGATTAAATGATTATGACGAGGCAAATTAACATCCTGGATGGGAGACACAGACCTGCTCTGTCTACGCTGCTGCTCCGACTTTGGCTCTGGTCTGGGACACCTTTTCCTCCAGGGTTCGCTTGCAGTTGCTCTGCCAGCAGAAGAAGAGAGAGCTGCTCTCTGGGAAGAAAGATGGTTTTGTGATTCAGGCAATGGAGGAAGCCTCAAGAGAAACGGGTTCAGTGCCTCGTACCTGCCGGTGGCTCCCAGCACACCTCACCCGGGTTTGAACCAAAGTCAGTGGAGAGGCTCCCAAAGATTTAAATAGGCTTCAAATGATACCCTCCATCTCTTTGTACCTCAGGGCTCCCCTTCGAACTTGGGGGTGATAATGCCTCCTTTCCAAGCTCTTCCTGGCAGCAACTGCCTCTTGCTATGTGAATGCACAGTGCTCATCAGCCTAGAGCATTAATTGTGCATGGCCCTTCTGATGGGTTATTCTGATGTCAGTAAGAAAAGGGAGAGGAAAGTGAGTTGGTACCTGGAGCGAACAAAAGGGTGCTGAACAGAGGACATGTATGATGAGGCCTGAAGCATGATGCTGTATTTTTGTGGGCCACTGATGGCCTGGAAAATGCAGCATTGGTCATGCTCCTAGCTTGTGAATGGACAGACATGGAGACTGATCCTGGCAGTCTCCTAAGCAACTTTATCTTACCGCTCTAAGGAAAAGTCCATATGTTTGCAGTGAACGCACTGCTACAGCTAACTTTGGAGACAGCCACAAAATAGCTGCTGCAGCTGAGCTGGCCTGTCAGACTCAGGTGTGATCTTGTCCCTAGATTTTACTATGCGTTCTCATCAGCTTTAACATATTATTAATGTGAATTTGGGTCGGTAAGTAAATTGCATTTTTGTAGACCACAAAGTTCTGTTGCCAAGAGAGCGTATCACGGATGCCGCTGCAAAGCCAGATCTTGTAAAGAGCACAGGAATCTTTTCCTTACTTGATTAGAAAGACAACAGCATTCTCGACTCCCAGTAGGTACCAAAACGCTGTCTCTTCTGTATTGAACAGAATTCCTCGCTGTAATTGCATGATTTACAATGTACTTATAGGGACCGGCATAAGCATGCTATGCTTAAGTGAGATGTACACATCAGGCATGAAAATGAATACATGATATGCCTGAAAACCTTATAGACAACTATAATTTGGACCGTAAACACATTATGGATTGCAGTATTGTATATAAAGCAGTGCTTCACTTACCAGTCTTTGCTTTTTGCAAGTCAATGCAACTGGTTCCTTATTAAACCACAGCATGATGACATTTTAAAAGCAATGCTGTACATGAAAAGCAAACTGTTGCATAAACATGGTTTTGCTTCCAACAGCTTATCAATATGTTAGAAGCAGAAGAGGCGTGTTAGGTACTTGTATTAACTTAGGGTTGTTGGGGTTTTTTGGGGGGGTTTACTTGCGGAACTGGGAGGAAGGAGAACATTTAAGGGTATATTGACATTCAGGGTATGTTGTCAGTCCTTTGCTAAAGTTGGTAAAGCTATGGCAATTTGTGCTAGATGAAGATGTACCCCTGAGATGTCAAAGAAATTCCCAAATTGCTCTAAGTTCTTGCAAGTGCTGGGCTTTTAGCTGTATGGCTAAGGGAAGTCTTGTTAGGCATGCTTACTGGATGCAGTGAAAGTACAGTAAGTAGTGCAGGCTGCAGACAGAAAGAGACGCAGACAATCCATTAACCAATGAGACAAGCAGCACATTTGAGATTATTAGTCTCATATCCATAATACATTTCAACAATCTCTCCCTGGCAGGCATTTCCCAGGAACACGCACACAGGCCAGACTTTCATTTTTCAGTCCTTTTGAAAATTTGAGAGTAAAAAATAAAAGCTGGGAGCAAGCCATTAGCAATAATTTGATTCTGTATTTGCAGTGGAAATTTTAAATAGATTTTTATCCATCCCTCTCCTTCTATTCAGGCCCTAATTGTTTCTCTTCCTCTCTTTACTTGCAGCCAAGTTCAGGGTTGAGGTGAGTCTGCCGGCAGGGGGTGGAGAGATCTCGGAGAAGCACAAAGGACTGGGGGGAAAAGTTGGAATTCAGTTCTCACGTGTCCTCAGCACGCACAATTTGGTTGTGCTGCAGAGTCCTGCCTGGAAAACAAGGCGCCTTTCCTATAAGAACATAAGGGCTGCGCTTGTGTCTTGCAAGTTCAGGAAAGCCATGGATGAAGCCAGCTGAACTATATGCATTTGGCAAATTGGATCTTTCCCCACCCCCATCTGTCCACAAACAGATCATGGCTACAAATTAATATCAAATGATTTGGTGAATAATTTATGCAACCACATCCCATCTAACGGCTTGGCTGTGCTTTTCCTAGAGTATTCGTTGGAGTTTATGATGTTCAGGACTTGCTCCGGAGCTGGTCCCCATGACAAACCCCACGCAGGCTGGAAATGGTTAACGAGCCATGGTGAGTTGTAGTGTTACGGGGATGGTCCAGGGCAGGCAGGCTTTTTGTGACACGTGGCATGGGGCAGAAAGCAGAGCTGCAGATAGGGTAGGGAGCGTGAAGAAGAGCAGCAGATCGGGTGAGGGAAGGGGGTTGGAGTGGCTCTTGGAGGGGGGGCATTGAGCTTAATTTGAGATGAACTTTGCTGCTGGGAGAGATGTTGGACAAGTTTTCAGGCATGAATTGCCCTTCCTCAGGTCTGCAAGAGGGGCAGATACTGTCTCAGGCAAACCCCCAGCAGAACCAGGCCCATGGGGAGGGGTGGCAGCAAGAGGCTGAGCTGGGGGAGGGAGGCAGGGGGCAGGGCGAAGGGCCTGGGGGTACCTGACTGCTGGCTCAGGAGTCCTTGTGTTCATTTTGATTGGCACTGAATCAAATATGGACCTGGAAGGAGGATGAGCAGGATGCTGGAGGAGGCAGCGAGCAGTTCCTGGGCTGGGGAGATGGGCTAGCTCATTGCCATCGCCTCAGGCACGTGGCGTTTGTCTAGCACCCTGACTGCACGGCATCACCGTCCAGACCACGTTGCCCAATGCACAACAGACCCCAAACCTCTAGGGAAGAAAGTAGCTTTAAATCCAGTCCGTCGGTCCCCCGGTGCCAGGCTGGCATGACAGGACCCCTCAAGCCTTGCTTTGTCCCAGCCTGGCAGACTCCCTCCACACCAGCATGGCCTGCAGATCGTTTCACCAGCACCACAGCCCTGGTCTGCCGCCTGTCCCTGGGGAGGCTGGATGATGGTGGGCCACTGCCTACCCCTGCTTCTCTTCTGGTCCATGGCCAGGACCTTGCTCCCGTTGTTTCCAGACCTGCACCATGTTTTGTTGCATCAGGGTGTCTCTTGTGCAGCGCTTAATTGAGGACTCCTGTGCTCTGCTTGCCTGGCCGGGCCTGCTTTCTCAGCCGTCAGAAGGCTGTCTGCAAATTCTCCAGGATCCTGTTGACACGCTCCAGCTCTTCTAATAAGCCATAGCAGTTTCTGGTTCATCAGCTGTTAAATACTCCCAGCTGCTGCAGGTTGTTACAGGAGAGGCAGGATTGTGCTCTTGGCTCTGCCACTGATCTGCCGGGTGACCTCAGGAGAGTCACTTTGCTGCTCCATCCCTCTTTGTGCCCTGCGCCGTTTGGTTTGTCCTGTCTCTTTAGATTGCCAGAGCAGGGTCTGTCCCTGCCACGCTGGGCCTTGACAGGCTCTTGCAATGCAAACCCTGATGAGTAGGTAACGGGTAACCAGTGCTGGGGGTCTGGCTCTGGCTCTGGCTTGGAGTTCTGGGTCTACTTTTCCACGCCAGCTTCCTCCTCTGCAGGACAAGGGCTCTCACCTGTGCCGCCAGCTCCTTCAGGTTTGGAAGGTAAAAAAAGAGCCAGGAGTTTAATCTTGAATCACAACATTGATGCTGAGGAAAAAAAAAAAGGTGATGTGCCAAAGGAACAGCGTGGGTGTGTGCGCACGCCTGCATGCCATTACTATCCGTATGCAAATCAAATAGGAGACAGCAACTAAGGAGGTCCCGAGGGCTTCAAAGGAGAGGAAGAAACAAGGAAAAGATTTGTTTATTTCTGGAACGACAGAGAGCGAAGGCCTGACTGGCGAGACGTGCGTGGCGGTGCGAACATGGGGATATTTATCCTTCAAATTCTAGTCTCTGCTCTGCAGGTTACGGGGAGGAGTAATGGCTCTCTCCCTGCCTCAGCTAGTTCTCGGTCCATTATGACTCCTAATTTTACCTTCTATTCCAGGGGAATTATCCACATCCTTCTTTCTGTGGTATAATACGCTGGATCCCGATGATGCATGTGGACACGCTTTGTGCATGTGCAATTGCTGCACTTAAACACCCAGTTGCAGCAGTGCCCAAGCACTCTACCTGGTCATTTAGACACGTGGGTTATTCGTGCACAAGCATGCAAGCTGGATTCTCATGTCAGTATTCATTGCAGGCTCTTTGTTTGTGGCAGTCACAGAAACAGCCTTAAAAATTATACAAGATCTGCTTATACAAGAGCGATCGGGGGATTAGAAATAGCTATCCGGTACAGTGCCTAACCCTGAGTGCTGCTCCTGCCCTCTGTGTTCGGTGTGCACCGGGTCCTAGCTATTATGTGTTTACGTGAGCTTCATTTATTGAAGCATTTATGTAAACCTACTTATGGATTTTCTGGGGAATTTTTTGTGGGGGGTGAGAACTTTTCGTATTCCAGGTCAAATGAGCCAAATCAGTTGCAAATCCTTTTGACTGAGCAAAACTCAATCCGTTTAAACGCCATATGTGGTGCTACAACCGGCAAGGATGCTCCCGGCTTGAGATGCTCCCAAATCCATTGGCCGGCACCCTATGTGCAGACCTAAGCCTGGAGGGTTGGCGTTCGGATGCCCCCAAATCTCACATGCCCTTAACCAAAGGCCACAGGAGCAAGCTGGGGAGCAGCCCCCCGTTTCCATAAATCTGAGATCCTCCCGCTGGAAGCTGGGCCCTGGGCAGCTAATGACAAGACTTGTAGGGCGTCCTGCATCGGGCAGGGGTGCACCCTCCACTACGCACTGCCGCTTAAATCCATCCCAGTACAGGTGACAGCGCTACATCTTCGCCTGCAAAAGGCCGAACAGGAATTACACTGGATCTGAGCCGTGGTCCGGAGGGGGCCGATCCTGCCTCAAGCAGGGGTTGGACTAGATGCAACCTCCGCACATCCCTTCCAGCTCCGCTTCTTTAGGATGTCAATGATTTCAAGGATTATGGATGCGTCTTGGATGGGGCTGATCCTACCTCATTGGACTCGCTGTGACTTCTGCAGTCCCTTCCAGCCCCACCTTTTTTTAGGATGTCAATGATTTCTATGATGATGGATGCATCTGGGATGGCTTGGATGGGGCTGATCCTACCTCATTGGACTCAATGTGACCTCTACAGTCCCTTCCAGCCCCATTTCTTTAGGACATCAGTGATTTGTATGATCATGGATTTGTCTGGGGTGGTTTGGATAGGGTGATCCTACCTCACTGGATTCACAGTGGCCTCTGCAGGTCCCTCCCAGCCCCACTTTTTTTAGGACTTCAGTGATTTCTGTAATGATGGATGCATCTGGGATGGCTGGGATAGGGCTGATCCCACCTCACTGGACTCGCTGTGACTTCTGCAGTCCCTCCCAGCCCCACTTTTTTTAGGACTTCAGTGATTTCTGGGATGATGGATGCATCTGGGACAGCTTGGAGAGGGCTGATCCCACCTCACCCAGGGAGCGGGACTCGAGGCGAGCTCCCCAGTCCCTCCCGGCCCCACTTCTTTAGGATGTCAGTGATTTCTATGATGTTGGACGTGCCTGGGATGGCTTGATCCTGCCTCATCGGACTGGCCGGGTCCTCTCCAGCCCCACTCCTTTAGGATGTCAGTGATTTCTGTGAGGATGGCGGTGTCTGGAGTGGTTTGGAGGGGATTTCTGTGAGGATGGCGGTGTCTGGGACAGCTTGGAGGGGGCTGATCCCACCTCGGCCAGGCTGGAGCGGGGCTCGAGGCGAGCTCCCCAGCCCCACTTCTTCCTTCCCGCGCGGGTGGCCGTGCCTGGGCCGGGCTCACCGGAGGAGTTGCGAGCGGCAGCCCCGCTTGCGGGGGCGGGGGCCGGGGCCG